CGAGAACTGGTCCCAAGCATATTTACGACGCGAACGGGAAACGCCCTGTTAAAACGGAGATGGTGAATGAGGTGTCGGCGACCACACGCGGTCTACCAGAGTCGTTTCAACGAGTGTATCTCAAGCCGACCCTTGTCCAAAACGGATAGACGAGGCTAGATCTCCGCGCGCGCAGCTAATTTACTCGCGATTAATTTTGGCACCGAGGACTACCGGTGGTGCCGGTGTTACGAAATTATGACGCGATCGTTTTCGGAGCGTTGTTTGTTTTACTGGTCAACGTTAATTGGTATGAGTTCGCTGCCTCGGGCTGGATTCAATTTGATAGATTCGTGGAGAAATAATTAACCCCGTTCGGGATTGGATATATGGAAAATTTTGTAGCTTTAATGAGATTACGCGTTGGCGCGTGTTATCTGGAGGAGATCATTCTCGAACGTTTCAAACAGGAAAAGAATGCTTTTGGATGTTCCGTGGGGTTCGATCAAATCATTAATCAAAATTCAGTCAATTTTAAGATTTGTTTAGTGGTAAACGTAATTACTACGTACAGTGGTTACATTGAAGTATATAAAATATATTCAAATATCTCCTCTTTCACTAAATGTATCAAAGTAGATGTAGAATAGAACATGGCAGCAACAGTTTAACAAATAGAAGTTACCATAGTTTCAACTGTTCGTTATTATAAGAATTATTTTACAAGTCATTTCTCGATCTGTTTCAAAGTAAGAATGCAATATTAACAATATTGCAATGCAAATATTAACAATCCATCGAAATAACAAATTGATTTGTATCGTAATTATTAAACGTATACAGATACTTTCAATTAGTTAAAGTTATTATCACGCTAATTAAAATCATCTAAAAGTGCACTCGAAATAGATTAATAATTCGAACATTAAGTGGCTGTCGAAAAGAGAAAAAGAGAAAGGATTCCTTGGGCGAGAAATTAAATCCACGCTTTGTACTCTAATAAAAGTAGTCCGGCTATTATGTAGCCTTAATGACCGTGGCCATTCGAGACAATAACGCCATTTCACGCGTATCGTGCAATTCCCGGCGATGGGATTTCTTAAACAGGGAAGACCCTTTCGAGAATGCAGCCCTTTCCATTGTTCCACCGGATGGAAATACGCTCGCGTGAAAAGCACGCGACGCGATAGGAAATGAAGTGTCTTCGCGTCTCAATAATCCGCGCTGTGTTCTCCGCGAAATAGATACTCGCGGCGGATGGAACTTTGCTCAGCAAATTTATCGACGCCCGTGTGGATTTACGGTTTGCGATTCATGCTCGCCGGCCACCCACGATCGGCCAGCAAGAAACATTGTTATGGTTTCTGGGCGACGACTCAGACCCGACTTGTCTGCGGAATTATTTTGCATAAATTTCATCTTGCGAGTTACGCGCCCTCTGGTAGTACCTCGTGTTCCGCTCGCTTGAAATCAAATCCCTGAAATATCGGCTTACAGGTGTCGTCGACTATCGGCGTGGACATTTGTTTCGTTGGTTGAAATTGGTACTAATTAGGCTACGGATTTTTATGCATTAAAATGAGAAATTCAACGTTCAATGTTCAGTAGATATTAACGTGGATAGTACGCTGTAATAATGTAATAATTGTAATAATACGAAAAGAATATTACAGTAGAAATATAAGTTCGAAAAATAAATCTGAAAATGTATGTATATAATCAATTATACGTTCAGTAGAAACGTCTTTGACATTTGTTATTAGATGGAAGATTTTTATTAGAATTAGATAATCTGTGAAATATTCATTCTATTATAGAATAATTTTCCAATAAAATATTCCAAGTACAAATGATCGCTATACGAAGGAATTTTTCCATTTTAGTTCTCTCTTTTTAATTGCGTTTTAAAGAATGCGTGTTTGCTTTAAAAATTCGCAGCCAAATAACAAGATTACAAGAACATTTTCAGAAACTTTTCAAAATGAATTTTTAAGAAATTTTAAAACGCGAACATAACGCACGTAACACGAGAAAAAAAAATCTATAAAATATTCAAAGAACAGTGCTTTCTATAATATTTGGTATGCAAAATAATTTTCTGCCGAGTTTTCTTTTTAGTTATACTCTCGAGAACATGAATTTGCATAAAAATTCGCAGTCCAGTGAATAATATTTTATGTGAAATTTCGTTCTATCGAAAATTTGGAACTTTATGACTAAATCTCTGTATATGTGTATATCTGAAAATTTCTCGAAAATCAAACTGATGGATATTGTTCTTCATAAAATTCTCAATTTCACGAATTCGACGCATACAGTTCGATTAACTGAATTTTCGTCGATCGAATTTCCTCTTAACCACGTGAATGAAATATAACAGGTAATGAAAAAAAAAGTACGAATAAATTTCTATCAGTTTGTGTTGTTCATTTCATTAAACGAAAACGAATTTGGAAAATGGAAACGATTTTGCTTCGTTTGGTTTAAACGAGGCATTATACAATAGCGAAATCCAGTTATGCAAATTGTTCGCCGACGCAAATTCAGGTAAACGGAGTTTCGTTGTAATTAAAAAATAATTTAACGTTTTAGAAAAATAAACGGCTTTCGGCCCGACCGTTTTCATAAATTTCGTTTGTCACAAAGGGATATGCCCGTAACGAGTCTCAAATTTCAAAGTGAATTTTCGAAAATAATGCTCATTGTTGTTTGCTGCACTCCATGCAATTTATGGAGTTGATCAACGCGGCTTTAAGTTGAGAAACTCGCGCGTAGTAATTAGAAATTGAAGAACGAGTTTCGGAATACTTCCGACTGTTTGAAATTCTTCAGATCTATAAATTGACGTTGAACTCGAAGCAACAATGTTCTACGACAGCAAGTTGGTTAGTTATGCGGAGTTTCCACGGAGTGAAATCTATTCAAAGATTCGAGGAGCGGTTGGTACGTTCGTGCTGGATGGGATTAGACAAAGACCTTCGGCAGCCGTGGTTATGTTTGATGCTCTACTTTCGGACTTTCCTGTTAATACGACGATTTAATTCCCACTGGCGAATCCCTGGGTATGTACTTTCTACCATTTCGATGATCCACGATCTTCCTTCGTAATCCTTCCAAGAACTGGGCATCTCATTTCGGAGAGGATAATCTGTCATTTCTGAACTAAAATTCCCTGTGATGTTTGCGCGTGCGGAATCTCGTGCGAATTAACGCAAGTAGAATGCAACCGCGATGGTCAGGCATCTATCCTCTTTAAAAATCGTCTTATATTCGGACTACAATTGCGACAATTGTTAGGATTCTCTTCACAATTACTCTTCTAAATAATAATGAGCACGATAATGTAATCGGCATGATTCGATATTTAAAATTCTTGGAAATCTCGGCTTGAATCTTGAAAGTGAAACAAGGCCACGATGATCAGACAATTACTCTCTTTGATGTAGTTTGAGCAAGACAGAAGTTGATTCTTATATATTTAAAAATCGTATTCATATTCCAATTTCAATTATTGTTAAAGTTAAAAACAATTAGGATTAAAATTATTTTTGTAAGTGTTGCAGATGGACACTTTCATGCATTCTTGGATTTTTAAATTCTTTAATTCTTTAAATTCATTTAAAAATTCTCGTGAAAATACCTAATCTAATAATACACGAATAATCTAACAATGCGAATTATTAATATGTATGTTTGTAACTTTACAACACTTTAATAATGTAAAAAACTTCCAACTAAATTTCGTGATTTTCAATTCAATGGCCAAGAGTTGCGCATGGAGAAACAAGTTTCCTCTGATTCAGAATAAAAAATTAATAGAATTTATCGATATACAACGCGAAATACACAATACGTGTAAACAGAAAAATGTTTGTGAAGTTTCTATCCGCAGGATTCTTATCCAGTTGACATGAATATAGATTCGCGATTTTCTTTTACAATGTCACCGAATGAAAACTCGGCATCCCGCTCCAAAAGCATCATATATATTATGTTCGACCAAAAAAAGTCGCTGTAAAAAGCCGCGAGATCGTGCGCGAATAAATAGGTGCAGCGTCTAGGTTGCCGCGATCGATGTTGTTGTCTCGGAGCTGGGGAAACGACGATTCGATTTCACACGGCACACCAATTCCTCGACGTGTGTAAAAAAGTTACGAGGACGTGTCGATGATGGAAATCAGTTTCGAGTGCATTCGAATTGTAGATGCAGTTGTAGCTCGCGAAAATATTCGAACACTTGTAAGAAATTTTGACGAACGTGTTATTCGTGTTGCATGAAACATTCATTAATTCACTGTGACGAGACGCAGAGATTTTCAAATTTCAAAAAGATCTGAAAATATATATATTACGAGATATTTAATGCGAATATATATTTCGCAAAGATTGTGAATCTTGCTTATTATTTTACCACCATATATCAATTGTCTGCTTATTATTTCACTGTCATATATCAATAAAATGTTAAAAAAGTACCAAATGATTTAGGTATTTGTAATAAATTTATATCAAAGTTAAACAACAATCTCTATTAAATTGGTAGGACAATCTATAAAATTTTTAATTTCATGACAGTCGCGTTCTATTCATATAACACTCTAATATAATATAACATTGTAACATACATATACACGTGCACGAAAATTCTTCCAAGTGTTCGAACATTTTCGTTGAGTTCACTGTAGAAGAAAAATCCGACAAACGTCCGTCGGACTGAACCGCGCCTTGAACCTCCTCGCAGTTTAATAAGCCGCGAAATATTTAGCAAGAGCTCGAGGGCTTCTTCCATTTATCAGATACGAGGTCCGTGCCTTATCAGCATCGTAACGTTTCCGTGTCGAGACGTTCGCCCTAGACGTTTCAATGCATTAAATACGGTTCCGGTGAAACTGAAACGAGAACTAAGAGTTGTATCAGTTGTGTCGGAACGTTGGAGAACGCGGAGGCGAGGTAATTTAAACGTGTAAAGTGATTCTGGTATAATATTGCGCGAGAAGATGGAAATAGCAAGAACAATTTACCCTTTTTCGACGTTCGGAAAGAATCGTCCTTAGGAACGTATTGTATGTCGTAGACCAACGTCGTGTTCGCCAACAGAGTTTTGTCCTTGTTGATCTTGTAGATGGCGTACTTGAACGCCAGCTCCGAAGGACTGTCCTTTTGATCCTCCGTGAAGATTGCACCTGCAACATTATTGAAAAATCAAGCCGTTAATTTCGTAACGCATTAAAAGCTTGAAAAGTAATTTTCACTGATGCTTGGTTTTAATTTTTTAATTTTTGAGGGTAATATATATTGTGTATATTGAATAATCAATATTTGAATATTTTGTTACCCATAATATATATTTAATATATACAATAGTAAATTGTACAATATATATATAATATTTGCGACAAATATCATTTATTTTACTAATAATAATATTCGCTAATATTGTACATGTATTTGATAATAATATTATCGGGACTATTGTTAGTAATATTAATAATAAGTAGGAATATATCTTGATAATAATAGTCTCTTCTTGTATAAGATTATATTTTACTTACTAAAATATGAGATACGAGATTCTATTAGAAAAAAAAAAAAAAAAAAAAAAAACAGTGCTAATAGAACATATAAGAGATTATGTTTAATACCGTAATATGATAAATCATTTTATAAGTATCGAAGATGTAAATATATTTGTTTTCTCACAGACTGAGGCAACAAAGGAAAATGATGAGAATATATCTTCTTACATCGAAATGTTTTAAGCATTTAAAAACGGCTTTAAACGCAACAGTTTGAAACACAAAAGAATTGTAACTCTCTTTATTCTTCACTTTATTATTAATTCTCGTAGAAAATTTTTATAAATCTTCTTTGTGTCTCATCGAGGCTCATGTCATTTGACGTTATATTCCAAGTAGGAACTAAAAGACACAAGTGGAAATAATAATATTAAATAATAAAAAGAGGAAAAATTCTTCAAGCGAAACAACTCGTTTCAGTTATTAACCTAATTTTTGCTCCATTGTTATTTTTACATTTCCAAACGTTCTCGTCTCTCTATCAACTCAAACACGATAAGAGCCTGCAAAACCGTCGTGCACACGTGTTACGTAATTCCTAACTGACTCCTCGTTTTACAGTACATGGCCTAATGAGATATCCATAACGCCAGCACGGGGAATTAATCTTTAATTAAATTCGAATGATCGAACGTGATACAAGGAGGACGAGGAGTAAGAAACTATATCGCACGGCAAGAAAACGTTTCGAACGTTGGCAGTACGTTCACTTCGAAACGTAACGTGGCGTACGGCGCCCGTTTCTCTGTTCCGCTCCGTATATTTCTCTGCCGACCTTTTAATTACGTTACATCAATTAGAGCCCTGACAAGTTGAGCGGACGCAATTACAGGCGGTCGATTGCAGCTTCGTAACAGCGAGAAACGTTTATAATCGCGTTTCTCTCCCCTCTGGCCAACTGTCTAGCCAACGATCGAGAGAACAAACGTGCGCTTCATTATTTTAAAATAGCTTGATTGAATCGTGTAATCCGCGGAATGTGGAATCCCGCCAGGAATAATAAAAATTCCTTTCGGTCGGAAAGTGAAACATTTCCAATACCAGCCAGAGGTGTACCAGTTTGCAGGGGGTGGGGAAGAGGAAGGAGGAAAGATCCATTGAATTAAAACCATCACGTAGTAGTTGAGTCAATCCTGGAAGAAGAATTAATTAATGGATTATGTTCTGAAAGCTACCTGCGTGGCTCTTGAACCCGAGAGTTGATATTTAAATATTGCGGTGATACTTTTAAATATTGCATGCATTTAGAGTCGTTGATGACGTGACGTGCATTTAAGTATGATCAAATGATTTCGATCTCCCGTAAGTTTCAAATATCGTATCAAATATCATTGGCAGTACGATAATTGATATGATAATATCAAATTTTATTGTACGACAATTAATAATTGATACGATAATATCAAATTTTGTTGTACGATATAGATGAAAGAAATATTCGTAAAATATTATGATACGAATTTAAAAATATATAATTGCATATTAATAAGCCCTTGGAACAATATATCAATTATAACGTATGTACATATGTTGTGATATATTTAATGTAATAATATATTACATATACAAGTTGTATAATATTTATGGTATAATACACTGTAATATATTTATAGTTCAACATAAAGACCCATTATAATAAATTTATATTACACCAATATACATATCAAATTCATTATTTGTAGATAAATAACTAAAATAAAATACTAAATAAAAAAATAATCACAGTGTATATGTATCGTTTGATATGTTGCAACCTCTTATGTTTTTTTAACCCCCGGCAAGTAACATAATTTAATTATTTCAAGTGTCTTAAATTATCCGTGTAGAATATTCTGATACAGACATTCGAAGGCTGAAAACTGAAATTATCAACTTAATATTTATATTATATGTCGCGAATTAGACGTTACGTAAAAGAATAATGACTGCGAGCGATGATCGATCACGAGTCTGACGTAGTAATCCAGAATATAACTTGATTGGACTGAGCTGGGGAATGAGAGGGGAAGAGATTTTAAATGAGCCGGAGATATAAACGAGATTCCGCAGCCAAGCGTCATTTTCCTGATCATAATTTTATACGTGCCCGAACCTCTCAACTTTCACAACTTTGATAATCAATTTTATTTGCCGAGGTTCGTTATACCGATCCTTTGCATGCTTCCGCGTTGATAAAAGATGAAGCGTTCTCCTCTCTGTGAAATTCATTTTCCTTGGCCTTCCTCTATTTTCATAGAATTCTTCTTTCATTTTTGTTCCTCTTTTCTTTTTTTTTTTTTTTTATTTCTCTTTTAGAGTTCGCACGTGTTAGCGTGCGTTAAGGAGTTTATTAAGAATGATCCATCTTAGAGCGAGTCAGACTACTTTAATCCCCCCCTCCATTTTACTTCGTTACTTCATTTTCTTCCTTTTTCCTTCGTCAACTTCGTACCTCGCAGCTGCACGTCTCGTATTTTCCCTTTCGTTTGAAATTAAAAGAAATTACGGTGTCCCTTTGTTAGTGCAAGCAGCGTTGTTGGGTCGTGGATAATTTGAAATATCAATGAATCATAGTAATTACATTACAATTGTATTGCTTGCTATATATTTTACATTTTTTCCGATAAAAATTACCGACAAGATTACATTAAAAATTCCAAAATTAAGTAACACAGATCAAGAATTATTAACAAGAACTGTCACAAATAATATTTGATATTTTTCTAATGACTTATCGAATAAGTGTGCGAAAACGAAATTCGCAGATATATATAAATTCTGATTGTACATAATTAAACGCGTTTTACCCACTTAAGACTTAAAGAGTATTAATTCGGGTATTAATTCGAACGATAAAATTATCTACCGAAACGTAATCGCTCGGTAGACGAATTTATCTACGTCACCTGCGGAAGTTCTCTCTCGGCGTGCAAGTTCTTTCAAGAGAACCGATCGATCTCCATCGCTCTTGCGAAACGACATCGACGATAATTGACCGAGTTGAATTAATTGTTTCTAAACGAGCCTTAGAAGAGAGTACATCCTCTCGCCTGTCTAATTATCGCTTCCTTTCACCATCATCCCCCCTCCCTTCTCCCGAAAAGATTAATTCGCCTCTCTTCGTGTCCGGTTCTCCGATTGACGTCCCTTTCGTCGCGTCATTGCTGTTTTCAGCAACGTGACTCTAACCAAAATTTATGACATGCATAGGGAGCGAAATATATTCTAGATAACTCGTACATCCACCGAAAGGTCCATTCGTTTAATTAAGTTTTCAGAAACATTACGTCTGTGGATTATTCATAATCTATAAAACGTGATCTATAAAAGTTCCTGGACTGCGGATCTTCCTATATTTGTCGTGCAACAAACTATGAATTTTTAAATTTTGAAATGCAACGCAAAGGAATATATGAAACACCCAAAAATATAGTGCTTTCAGTAGCATTTCAGCTGTACGTGGAATAATTTTTCACCGCGGTTCTACATTTTTTAAATTCTTTTTTTAAACAGTCGCTCTTGAGTAACAGGGATTTCGTATAAAAAAATCCCTATTATACTCGGTAATTAGTTTTTAAATCATTCTTTTAAATTACGTTCGGAAAAAATACGAGTTTCCATGAAAATTCTTTTCAATCAGTTGTTTTATTTATTTTTATTGTCTAAATCTCTCTATAATTTTATTACTCTGAATCACGAGAAATCGATGATAATCTACTGAAATTCGATCGTGATTATTTTCCCATTTGCAATTTTTATGTACAACTATTGAGGGATAGATTTTTATTGAGAGGAATTTGTGAGAAATGCAGAAACAGGAAAATCTGCATAATGAATGCAAAGTGTAAAAATATATGTACGAAATATCTGAAGTATATAACAGCAGAGAAAATAAATTTTTGCTGAAACTACGTTGTGCTTCAATCACACGAACAAATTTAAAACTACATGTGTATATAATTAATAACAATTATTAATTACTTTTCACTTTTACAAGTTATTCCCTTCGATAGATTTCGAATCATTTAATCACTTCACTGATCGTGAAGATTAAACAAGTAAAAAATTAATCACCATTATTTTCAATTATTACTATTCTATAATATTAGTTTTATATTTCTGTATCTATAAAATAAAAAAGTAACTTTGAAGACCTTGTAATAGTTTGTACCAAGGTAAAGTGATTCTTCTGTACGTAAAAATTTGCGGAAAATGGTAGATTTTGATGTGACAAAGTTACGCCTAGGGGGAAATAGACGTCTGATCATCGAGGTCTTATTCCACTTGCTCGGTGTGAATTTCGCCTGAGTCGGTACTCCCGAGGGAAACATTGAAGAAGTCGTGTTCCTCGAAGGCTCCCATTCGCCTGCTTTTTAAATCGTTCTGATGGCATACGCAGTGAAACGTTTCCTTGGAGATCTCTCATTGAAATTGAATACGTCGCAGCAAAGTGCGAATAGAAATCAAGGTAGCTGTTTGAGATTATTTTAACTTGTCCGAGCTTTTCCGGGGAAAAATATTCTGATCGTTTACAAAGTAGACGATCTCCCATAAATATGCAATTAAGAAAAACAGATTTACAGCACGTGCACAGGAATATATACATATATATTATTATAT